GAGAGACTATGGATTATCAGACTACACAAAGACAGAAGGTATTAAACATGTAAGTCATTAGTTGAACTCATTTAACAGCTAGCTTGAGTCATGCTGGAAAAGATAAGCAAAAAAAAAACAAAAACAAAAACAACAAAACAAAAAGCAAAAATCAAAACAAAAGATCACAAATAAAGCAACATCCTATCTAGAAACTAAATGATAATATTAACATAAGCAGGGAAGAATAGCAAAAACACATTTAAAGCAAGCAAAAAAAAAAAAAAAAAAAAAAAAAAACTGAAGAAGCTAAAGGATAAATGTGACCCAAAAGAAAATGTTCATACCCAGAAAAATAAATAAAAAAGTGGAGTAAATCAAGATATAGAAATTAGCTGCAAGCAATACATTTACACTGTTTACCATTCCAGGATGAAATTAACTTTTTAAACTGAGCAAAATTTGAACATTTTCTAAAATTTTCGGGTAGAGTATTCCATAAAGCAGGTGCAGCATACCTGAAAGATTTTTTACCTGTAGTTGTAGTTCTTACTTGCGGGATCTGCAAAATATTTGAATATTTAAAAAATTAATACCAGTAGTTTTCTTGACAATAAGGTCAGACAGAACAGCAGGAGACATATCATGAAAAATTTTAAAAGTTTCAATGGCCATAGCCCTCATTCTTCTTATTTTAGAGTTGGTATATTTAACTTTTATCAGCATATCTTCATAACTTGAATTAAAATCATTATAGACAAATCTGGGTGCTCTTTCCTGTAGTTTTTTCCATCTTGTTTGTATTATTTTCTGAACAGAAATGCCATGCCATAGGACAAAATTAAAATTGGACAAAATAAAAGTATGAAAGATTGTTAGCCTATTTGTTTGATTTAAATTGTGACCTATTCTTTTGAGGATGTTTAACTGATTAGCAGCTTTTTTACATATATTGCTTATGTGAAAATTAAAATTTAATTGTTGATCAATGTCGATGCCAAGGAGTTTTACAATTTCGTCACATGTTATTTCACTAGTATTAATTTTGAAAGCTGGGGATTTAGTGAAAGTTTTCTTCCCTACAGCAATAGCTTGAAATTTATCAGGTTAGCTTGCATTTTATTAAAATGAAACCAATTTATAAGATAGTTACTTTCTTGTTCTAAGGTACATATTAGTTCATCAAAATATTTAGTCCGAAAAGAAAGGGTATTGTCATCTGCATAGTTATATAAAGTACATTTTTTTATAAAGAAAAATATGTCATTTATGAAAATATTGAACAGTAGAGGGCCCAGGATTGATCCTTGAGGGACACCTTTGGATATATTAGCCCATGAACTTACAATATTGCCTATTTTTATTTGCTGTTTCCTGTTTGACAGATAAGATTGCATGAGGTTGGTGGCAGGGCCTGATAAGCCATATGCTTTTAGCTTATCTAAAAGAATGTCATGTGGCAGACAATCAAATGCCTTAGATAAGTCCATCAAAATTGCTGCCACATATTCATTGTTATCCAGGGCCTGTCTCCAGTCCTCAAGCAGTCTTAACAAAGTTAGTTTGACACCCATGGCCTTTCCTAAAAGCACATAAATAATTGTCAAATATATCATCAAAAAAAAAGCAGAGAGCTGATCAAATAATACCTTTTCAAAAAGTTTAGATGGAATAGGTAATAAACTTACTGGTCTATAGTTAGATTTGGTCATAGCGTCATTTTTTTTTGAAAAAAGTGGTTTTACTTGTGCTTGTTTTAATTTAGTCGGAAAAACTTGTGATTTGATTGAGATATTAATTAGATTTGTCAACGGTTCAACTAGTGATGGTTTACCTAGTTTAATAAATTTGGCTGAAATTTTATCTGCCCCTGTGGCCTTTTTAACATTTAGATTATTTATAAGTTTAGATATATTACTTTGTGATGTTTGTTCAAAGCTAAAGGCATCTTGTAAAAAATTTCTATCATTGATTTGAGCAATACTAGGATGATTTTCTACATTGTAATCATAATCTTTCCCTATAGATTCAGCTACATTTGTGAAAAAGATATTAAAAATTTCAGCAACTTCTGAGTCGTCTGATATAATATTATTATTTTCATTAAGTATAATTTTTGGCTGTTCTAGAGTACATTTATTTGATAAATATGGTTTGATTGTATCCCAGAATTCTGATGATTTGCATCCTCCTATACACCTTTCATTAAAATAATTGTTTATTGACTTTTTCTTTATCTTATTTACATGATTTCTAGCTTTTCTATATTGTTCCCATGTTTTGGAATTTTTACATTTTAAATATTTATTATAATACATTTTTTTGTTATATATTGCTTTTCTAAGTTCTCTATTCATGTATGCTGTAAAAAAATTCTATGCAGTAGCATACCTGTTTATCAATAGTATTTTAATTTTTCCCCTTTTTGCGAAGGGAAAATTTCCCGTTTTTTTCGACGGGGAAAGGGAAAAAAGGATAAAAAAATTTTGAAAAAGGGTGAAAATTAGTTTTTTTTGGGTATAATTTTTTAAATACATCAGCCCCCTTTCCCAAAAAAAATTGGGTTTTTCGGGAAAAAACGACAAAAAAAGGAAGTTAATGATGCAAACGGGGAAAGGCTCCGGGGTTTACAAATTTTAATCTTACAATAAAATACTTTTTTATACAAAAAAAGGGTTTAAATGTTTTTTATCGTAAAAAAATTTCTTTTTTCATTTTTACCCGTCTTAGTTATAGTTTAAAGTGGCGGGTTTCAAAAAACCCGGGCCCGTTTTGGATACTATAAATTGGGGGGCATGGGCAAAATTTCAAAAAATTTTTATTTTAGTTTAAAACTTTGATTGCCTTGCAAATTTTTTGGTGTACTTTTTGGTTTATCATTTTTTGAAAAATTTCCCTTATTGCAATCTTTTTCACTCTAAAAAATGTGAAAAAAACTAAAACCCACCCTTCCCGCAGGAAAAAAAAAATTTTCCCTTTTTATGAAAAGAAAACAGTGTTTAAAAAAGTTATAATAATGGAATTAGAAAAAATTTATTCCCTTTTTTGTAAAATTTGGGAAAAATACTTTTTAAAAGTAAAAATTTTTGGTAAAGAAAAAACAAAGTAAAAAAATTTTAAAGTGTTTTTTTGACTTCTTTTAAAAATCCCAAAATAATTTTTTTCCCATCCTTATTGAAAAAATTACAAAACCCAAAAAAAGAAATGAAAAAAATTAAAATTTTAAATAAAAATTTTAAAGGGAAATTTAAATTTTGTACGAAAAATACTAATATGTCTTTTAAGTTTGTTTTTCTATTTTCCTCGTACTTTTGAAAACAAAGGGCTTTCCCCGGGCCCCCAGATCATCCAAATAAGTCATTCAGATACGATCCCTATCATTTATTGCTGTGTATTTGTTCGTACATGCGGCTGTGCGTCCGTGTGTGTGTTTGTGTGTGTGTTTCGACAATAACACGTTTTGTCTTTTTTCATATTTTTTTTCAGAAAAGAAATGTACTTCGAAAATAACGTCATCGACTACAGTTTCTTCTGAAACACTGCCTTCAGTTTCGTCAACAGGTACGCTCTGTCTTAGGAAAAAAATGCTAATTACATTCCGCAAATCGGAAAAAAATGAATGCATTGCTTTCATTAAGACAATTAATACAAAGCTGTCGCAATTTATGCAAAGCTTATACAGGGGTGATAGAATTTCAATAGTGGTCAGCTTTTTGAATAAACACGAGTTTTTCTGACACGATTTAATCAACAAAATTTATGATTTACCTTTAATGGTAATAGTGAACCGATTTTGTAAATTTTAAAACTTTTTTAATAGTAACAGAAATTTTAAAATTAAAAATTTTAAAAACTTCCTACATTTTTATTGTTTTTCCCCTGAAAGATATTTTGGGGAAAGATTTTAATTTTGTAAATGAACCCTTTTGTTTTTTTTTGGGGCCTTGTTTTGAATATTTTGCCAAAAAATACACAACTGTAAAGGAGTCCCCAAAAATAAATTTTCCCGGGGTAAGGGCCCGGGGAAGAAAAACAGAAAGAATATTGGGGAAACCCGACACGATAAAAGTAAAAAAGAAATATGGGGAAACGACACGAAAAAATTTTTAAGAACCCAGTTTGGGAAAACTGAAAACGATAAAAAGGGAAAAAGAAATAGTGGTTTAAACGAACGTATAAAAGTAAAAAGAAGTACATAGTTTTTTTTTAACCTTAAAACCCCCGCTGAAATTTTTTGTCCTTAACTTTCCTTGATTTTAGTTGGAAACCCTTCAAATTTTAACTTAAGGGAAAAAAGTATAAAAAATATGAATTTTGGTTTCCCCCCAGTATAGAGGCCCCGGGGGAAGACCCACCCCCCGATCTATTCTAAGGAAAAAGGCCCAAACCCTTATAAAATTCCCAAGAAAAATATCATAGCATGATAAAAAAAAATTGTTTTTCAAAGAAATGATCCTCGAAAATTAAAAACACAAAAAAATAAAATTTCAGAAATTTGTTAATGGAAAAATCTTGGTTTAAAAGGGGGGAAGTGAATTTAAAGAACGTTTAAAAATTTTTTTGAATCTTTCTCAATACCATAGCATTTTCGGGAAAATATTCTAAACTATTCAAAAATTTGAAATTTTAAATTTTGATAAAAAAATCCAAAACTGCAAGCACCGCTTGAAGATATTTCCATATAAGCACAAATATAGTTTACCGAATTTTACTTTACAAAGTCAAAGAAGTTAGACAAAATAATAATGCTCAGTGTGTAGAGGGGTAAATGATCTTTACACATCAAACGAAAACTGTCGAAAAATATATTCGTTTATATATGATATATTCATATGTTAAATGCAAACCTTTTATTGTAAGATTTAATATTGAAGTCTGCTTAAGCTGGTGCTAGGAGGCAGTAATGAACAGGCTCAATCAACCGAGCCTGCAACATTTTCAATTTTGACGTGTTTCTTTAAGGGTTCTTCTTTTCAGTGACTGCCGCGCAAGTTCCACAGAAAAAATCGGGTATGTTTAAATTGATTTAATGCAAAAATCAAGTCTTTGTACTGATGATGCTACTCTTGATACTTAATGGTACATATATGATTTAAACTTTCACGATCTCTGATAAGATGCATAAATGATACTTTAGGGTGAAGATATAAAGATAGTTCTAATATTGTTATACAAAATATAACAGCTATAACTTTTCGGAAAGATAGATAAACACTTTTAAAAGTGACTGATCATTCAGTTCTATTTTTAAAAAAATATGGGTTTTAGTCATATCATGTTAGATATTATATTAGGAATATTTATTTGCTTAAAACGCTTTCTTAAGTCAGTTTTTTTGGTGTGTTCGTGGCCGAGTGGTTTATGTCGTTGGCTTCAAACCACTCCGCCCTCACTGCTTTGGGCTTTTATCCCAACAAACACTTTAGATACTTTCATGTGCTGAAGTTAACCAGCTTACGGAAAACCAGTGGTTTGTGCCTGAAATAATGTATAAAATGGCACTTGAGGTCTTCTACCACCAGTTAAACTGGAAAGTCGCCATATGACCTATACTGAATAAAATTATCACAAAAAGCTATACAAAATATACAAAATATAAAAAAATACAACATACTTTGACATATCATTTTTTCAATAATAGGATAATTATATCTTAAACATTTGAAGATTTACTTTGACATCTATACATGTATTTTAGAATTATCTTCTTAACACACAGCAGTTATAATACCCGACATTAAATCATAGTAAGACAGTCAGCGTTGTTTTCATACATTCTAACTTCATCATAATCTAATTTATTGTTTATCAAAATAGTTTTATATAGATACATTCAAGAATTATTAATGATTTTTTATTGCAAATATTCTCCTGCTTAGCTAAATAGGGAGAGTATTGGATTATGGGTAGCTAGTGAGGCGAAATTACTAGGTTGATGCAACGTAAAACCCAACAAAAAATAATTAAAAAAAAATACAATAATTTTATAAAACAAAAAACAATTTGCCTACACAGTATTATGGGAAGAGATCAATCATATTTACTTTTACCTGACATTATCTTTAGTGCTTTCTTTATGAATACAGAGGTGTCAAACAAGATTTGGTATAATGCTACGTCAAAAACTCACAAAGGAAATACGCCAAACGTTTGAATAGAAAATCCACAATATTCGTGTACGAAATTCACCTATGTGGTATTACTCTAAAAATCCTCTGATTAAAGTTATTTGAATTTCTTTCCAGAGATAAACGCTGTATACATTGCAGCTCCAGTTGCCTCTTGTCTTGTTGTTTTGATGGTGCTTCTTTTATTTCTTTGGTGGCGGTAAGTGTAACATAAGAGGTTCATATCAAATAGAATAGAATAGAATATTTATATGAAACTTTAGAGACTACTAAAGATAATTAAATATTTAAAAAAATGATATCATCACGCCTGCAGCAATTCGACTAAATAGTTTGTGATTTATAGGATATCTATTTTTACGCATTGGAATAATTCCTGTAATCAACTATATTATAAAATCTGCTCAGATAAATGGCATTTGTAGAATATAGAATGATACCAGGTTGTTTATATTACAGACATAATAAATGTAATCTCTCTGGTACGCTGCGAACACTAAGGAAACGACACCCGGGTACATTGATTACAAATAAGACATACAAAGCAAGCGGTATGGGTAGACATAGGTCCATGGATGTAATACGTCAGTCTGAAGTTAATGAGTATGCAGAAATATCTTTAGATAACATGAATACTGACAATCCCATGGGAGATGATTATCAAGAAATAAAGGAAACAAATGATGATAAAACTGACAGAAATAAATCGTATGCACATATTAAGCTATCAGACACGGACTTTGTTGGTACGAATGATACGAACTACTCTCATATAGATATTGGAAAGGGGGGAAATAGCATACAATTCGATAAAACATACGCACATTCAAACGCAGTTGATGCGTCAAATAAACCTGAAATGAGCTGGAAGGATAATTTCGAGACATACAACAAGTTGAACACTGTGATTCTGACGGAGAAAAGAGTACAAGACGGCGAAGACACTGACACAGAGTATAACCATGCTCATTCCGGAGGTCAAGATCCAAAATATGAAGAGAACAACTATTCGCATCTGGCTTGTGAAGCTACCTCGAAGTCGGCATCACAAGAATCTGAAGAATCTGCTGATAGTAACAAATACGAAGACAGAAACAAAACCAGTGCAAACAAAAACATTACTCAGCTATCCAAAGGCACTTGTCTAGATACAGATTATGAATTTGCAAAAGATAATGACGATCTTGGTAGCAGTGGAGTGTCTGAATTTGCGAAGGAAACACACCAGATATTTGATGGAACAATGCATGACTATTTCATCTTAGTGCCGGACCCAGCAGTAGATATGAAATCCTTTCATGTTGTTGAAGATAAACTCGGCGAAAAGGAACATGAAAACCACGAACAAAAGAATCATGATTATTTCGTATTGGAGAAAACTGATGCATTAACTCATTAAATAAAAAGTTTTATATTATCTGCTTAACAGAATTATAATGTAGATTAATGTGGAATAAAATAGGGTCTCGTTTAAGCATAAAAGTGTTAATTGATATTGATCTGGTGTGCTAAATGAACTATACGGTCAACATTTAAGTAACTTTATCATTATTAAATTTATATTCTTATAGAATACAAGTATATAATGACATGCCTGGTTATTCAATCATAAGACATTACGTGTATATAAAGAATTTATCACTTTACGGATTTTATTGTCATATTTGAAGCGAAATAAAGTAGTGTTATTTGTAAATAAAAAAATCACCATCAGCAGAAGTGTGTAATCTGTAAGTTAGTTCTCTATTAAAACATTATTATAATATAAACGTGAGTTTTTGAAAATCTTATTCACATTTATCAATAGGACGTAAGTATCGGCCTGTGTGTCAGTGTTAGTTTATAATCATATTTTACTTCGTACATCGAAATCCTTCCGTTAAATATAGTTTCATTAGATGACATTGTATGATTTAATGTAATAAACCTATTACGTAATTATTTGCATATCAAATGTTTCATTGAAAGATTGGCTGTCGTAAAAAGATTTTTTGGGTGTTTAATCTCCCTCCCTTGAACCCTCTCCCTATTATTGTTCCGTACCCTGCTGAATGCTGAGTGTCTTGCTGATGAGCATGTGTGGCTGGGTCGGAAGTCGGAAGCTACGTTCTCCTTTCAACGTCGCCATACCTTGTTGATCTTTGTACTCATTTTACTTTCAAAGGTCACAAGAAGCTCAAGATTTAATACTTCATAAAAATCATTTTAAATAGTTCTTTATTAAATGACACAGATGATAAGATAGAAATCGACCTAAATTGTCACGTCATTTATGACGATTTCTTTGCTTAGTTTTGATATTTCGATTTTCGTTGTTTTAATGCAGCATGCCTCCAGATTGATCCTAACTTTCATGAAAATTTTGAAAATGTTTAAGAAGTAAAATATTATGAAGTAAACAAAGAAAGTAATTTTCAAATTGCAAACAGCACTTACAGTCCATGGAAATTACTAAAAAGAGGTCAAAATATGCAAAATTAATCGTTACTGCGTTAGTAACGCAGTAAAAATTTGGTGATAAATACTGCAAAATCAGTCATGTATCGCACAAAACATATTAATTATTATTTGAATATTGAATCTTTTTAAATAAACAGTTGAATTATGTTAAGTGACAAAATAAATTATAAATTGTCCACTTCTGTCGGATTTCACTGATGGAATGTCAATTATTTGGATCACGTTCAAGTTTAGCATCCTCACTAATTGTATGAGGCTCATATATTGCAATCAATACAGAGTTGATCTTGAAGACAGTGTTATGATGATAATAAAATAAAGCTATAATCATGCATGTGAAAGTTAAGAATGTAAACTATGATTAAAAAAATGTTTGTGGTGCTGCATGTCAAAATTCAATTGAACAGTATTTAGCTGTGAAATAGTGTAAAATAGAAAAAAAAGTTTGTATAGTTCATGTAATTATTTTTGTTCTTCGACTCTTACTTCAAAATATATTATGTTCATCTTTGGGGACACATATTTTTATCGCGGATATCTAATAAAATGTATGAAATTCTCACTCAATATGTCTCATTTGAATAAAAGAATGTACGGCTAATCTCAGCTATTATTCATAATAACCCTGGACTTATACGGGTTGAAAGTAATACAACCACGTGGTTTTAGATGTACTCGTATAGTATATAAAAACCGAGGGTGTAATATTTGATATTGTACCGGTATAACAAATATACATATTTAAAATGCAAAGGAAAAGAATGTCGGTAAAATAATGATTGAACATATGTCTAATAATAATAATCAATTTAAAAATGCTCACTGATGTATAATTATAACCGACTCCTAACTATTGTCAGCGCGTAGACAGTGTGTACTTTAGATTCTACAACCATAGTTATAAGTATGTATAGTATGACGTGTTTACTTTAATACATATATATATATATATATATATATATATATATATATATATATATAAATCAACTTCATTTAAATGGACTTTTACTCATTCATGTATCGGAATAATCTAAGCCAACAACGCCTACCATTTTAATGACTATTTGTTTACATATGTAGCTTCTTAACGTAGGTTAGACCAAAGAACCGCATCCGTTCTGTGTATTCTTACTATTGTGTTCGAGGTCCTCATTCGAAGTTCGACGGAAAGAGCCGAAAAGTTGCGATTGGTAGCGGAATGGTGTCGGAGGTTGCGTTCTTTGAACGTCGCCTTGCCTTTTTGATCTTTGATCTAATATTGTATAGGCAACTGAATTAAAATGGACAAAACTGTTTAAATATTAGATAAGTGTTAATTTCCTTGTAATGTATCATGACTTACTTAAGGTTTTATCATGCTATAATTAAGTGGGAGGACACGATTACGATTATTAACTAATACAACCGGATCTCATTTCAACTTTCTTAATTTACTTCTTATTTTGCATAGATGTCAGTATTATAATATGATATGGATAAAATCATGTTGTATATTCTTTTTCTATTCCATGGTATGTAAATTTGCATTGTTAAAATGAAACAAGTCTAATTTTTTTATTTATTTATTTACTTATTTTAATAAACTTGATATTTAACGTATTGAATATCAAATGAGAATCGATCAAGTAAAAATGTTATTGTGACATAAAATCCTATTAAATACCTCCCCTCAAATTAAAATTACTATTATATTTTTCAAACGTTCGATACAAAAGTTTTGTCCAATATTTTTCAGGATTTATTTTCGGAGGTGCAAAGACAGATCTAACAGATTGTTATTACGGGCCAAAATATGAAGTCTGTGGTATGATTGATTGTTTTCTATTAATAGAAATGGAATCTCTTCCTTATTTTAAATGCTACAGCAAGTTATTTTTTAACCAAGTAATATGCTTAATTTGCAGTTCTCTCATGTATTTCCTTATTTTCAATATGTTATAGCATATCAACTATATTTCTTCTATTTCACTGTATGTTATGTAATTATAACACCCATTTCTCCTTATTTGCAGACTTTAACCTATACATTTTACTACTCATAATTCGCACTGTGTAATAATAATTCGTCTGAACATTTCTTCTTATGTGAACAATGTATTGGCTAAGCACATACACTCGAAGTATACATACGATATACGTATTTTTCCAACGTAACTGCTACTTCTCCATAATTAACCACATTTATTTACCATATTTGCACTTTTCAATAATGATTATACTGTTTTATCCATATCTTAAGTATTAAATGATTAACCACATTTGGTGTGTTGATGTCACTTCTGACGTCATATGACGTCATTCATTTAGTGGACTCGTGAGAATAGGTCTTAATACAATCAACTCGAGCGATACACATTCGATTTTTATCGTTTTATGACCTATTATCCATTTCTTGATTGATGCCGTATGTTAGCATATGTCAGCTGTAGCTTTTTGTTTTCATATGTTATAATGTCCTTGCTAGATTTATTATTCTATTTTTTTTCTGTACGTAATCATGTACATACAATGTCTTTGTTTTCATATGTTATGATGTACTCTGGCATTTCTCTGTTTTCAGTGTCAGTGTAAAATTGAACTGGTGATTTCTCTTTGCTTGCAATTTGTAATTTTGTCTTAAAAATTTCTCTTGGCTTGCAGTGTGTAATTTTGTCCTGGAAATATCATTCGGCTTGCAATTTATAATTGCTGCCTGAAAATTTCTCATGACTTGCAATTTGTAATTTTGTCCTGAAACTTTTCCTTTGCTTGCAATCTATAGTTGTTTCCGAAAATTTTCTCTGGGTTTGAAATACGTAATTGTGCCCTGAACAATTCTCTTTGCTTGTGATATGTAATGTCAGTACTGGCAATTTATATTTACTTGTAATATGTAATTGTGTCCAGACAATTTCAATACACTTGACTTGTAATATGTTCATGATTACATGATAAATTAGCCATATCTCTTCGTATTTAGTATTTTAGCATTTACTGGTATTTTTTTCTTGTATCAAAAATGCAATGATTTCCTGGTAATTAATAATTTGATATACGAGGTATGTTCAAAAATTTCGTGGACTTTTGCTGTCAATTTTTATATGGTTCTAGAAAATCAACTTGGTTGATATGTATTAAAAGTGTGTTTTTCTTTCTATAAGTTAGTTGTAAATTTATTTCAAAATTTTATTTCTTCCACAATCTATGTGCATTTTAATAACCATAGCAACGCAACATCGGCGCAAGCCGAAATTTTCATACAACGTTTAACTTCAAACCCCTACTGAATTAAATAAAGCGGTTACTTTCAAGTGAAAATGCGGGAAATCGTCAAATAACATTTATATGACGTCATATCAAAATATGACGTAATTTCAACGTTTAAAATGGTTAGGACCAAATGTTGTTCATAAGATGAGAAATCAGAGATATCGTCAAAATGACGTCAAACGAAAGGTCTGAAGTACGCGCCGTAATAAAGTTTTGCTCAGATCTTGGTAAAACTCCAACACAAACCTACAAAATGATTCAAACAGCTAGAGGACATAACTCTGTGTCACGTTCATTAGTTTTAAGTGGCACAAACGTTTTTTTGATGGGAGAGAAAGCACAGAAGATGACAATAGGTCCGGAAGACGGATGTCTATCGGCGCGTCAAAGCGCCGAATGTTGGATGACGCACTAAAAAAAGATCGACGCCTAACGGTGCGGGAGTTGTGTGACATAACTGGACTCAGTACAGGAAGTGTACACAACATACTCACTAAGCAAATGAATATGAGAAAGGTAAGTTGTTGTTGTTGTTATTTTTGTCTTTCTTGTTCCTTTCTTCATTAAATGTTGATATAATTTAAAATATTTACCAATTGATAAAAAAAAAATTCCCGATGAAAAATCAATACTTATTAAATGTGAAAAACACGGAAAACTTTATGCATAATGCACACATCGCATATATTAAATCTTTAAAATCGGTGTTAAACATGCATATTGAACATTTGCCTTCATAGAACAATTACTAAAACACTGCATATTGATTTATGATATTATGTTTATTTTCAGGTTCACGCAAGATGGGTACCACGCTTATTGAAAGATCACGAGATGGAAAGAAGAGTAAAAGATTCAAGAATGTTTCTGCAAGAGTATCAGCGTTTGGGTGACAGCTTTCTAGACTCCATAATCACCACTGACGAGACCTGGCTTTTTCTACACGACCCAGAAACGAAAACGCAGTCCGCAGTTTGGCGTCGTTCAGGCTCTCCTCCACCCATGAAAGCCCGTGCGATACGGTCTGCAGGCAAGCAAATGTATGTGATGTTTGCTGACAGGAAAGGAATGATCCTCTGCCATGCTGTTCCGATACATACGCACATCAATGCAGATTATTATTCAAAGGTATACTGGGCAGGAACCAGTTTCCGGACAATACCAGTTTCCGGAAAAGTACTATAACGGCTTAATTTTGGCTTTATCGATGACGATCAGCATTATATGTCATGAAGATGCTTGGTTTATTTGTTTGAGAAAATAAATTTCCTTCCAAGTTGATACATCATTAAAATTTCGTGAGGATATCTTACATGTGTTTTAAAAACAGCCTTATATCCCTTTGGGTATGTAATTTGTTCTGCGCATGCGCAATATTTTGTTTATTTCGGGATATAATTTGGGGTAGCAATTAATGCACAATGTACTTCATTCGAAGTTCATTGGGTCTAATTCCCCAGAGCTAAATCTGTAACGTATCGGAAAATGGTGTTTAGCTAGGTTACTCCACTTTCGCACTTCGTTGCTGCCGTACACACAAAAATATCCGTTTTATTTTTCAGTCATTCCGAGACCCATCACGTGATTGTTATTTTTCCTATCATAAACATTTTTCAGTAAATCAGCTTAATTATATAAGAAAGCTAATATGTGAGAAGAAATTTTTTGTTACATTAGAATAATTATCAGTTAAAAACAGATATGAATAGCAGCTTAATATATGTCCGGAAACTGGTTCTGCAAGAGTGAACAATTTACACTTTTGATAACCTAATTTAACCCTTCAGTTTGTACATTGCTTATGTCACCAGACAGTATTAATTGTGTTATCGGAAGTAGTTAGAGCTCAGGTTTTTGGTAATGTTAGTTTTATTAATGCATGTTTATTATTAAAAAATAGACAATTAAAAAAACTCGAATTCTGTCCGGAAACTGGTTCCTGCCCAGTATATATATAATTTATATTTTATTTTAGTTCCTTCATTTAATGTAGCATGCAAGTTTTATTGCAATCACATGATGAGTTTGTTTTATGTTTTTTATAATAATGTCAGAAAATTATCGTAGTTGTAGGAAAATAGATATATACAAACATATATATATATATTTAAATCATCACAAATAATAAATTAAATGTTATTTATAAACACGTGTTTGATTATTTTAAGAAGAAAAACAATTCTTTTCACATTGATATCTGTAGTGAAAATTGTGTACGCTTCTTTATTTGAACAGGTGTTACGCCGTGACTTAGTGTACGCACTTCAAAAAAAAAAGAGACCGGGTGTTCGGCTTGAAAGTTTCAGGTTTCACCAGGATAATGCTCCACCGCATACTGCTGCCACCACAAAACTGGAGCTCGATGTTCTAGGTTTTCAACAATTAACCCATGCTCCATATTCACCTGACTTGGCTCCTTTCGATTATGCTATATTCCCTCACATAAAGAACATGCTTAAGGGCCATCGATTTGAGAATTTGAAAGAATTAAATAAACAGACTGTATCAATCATACGACAGATAACAAAAGAGTGGTTTGATAGTGTTTTTAAAATGTGGATTCATCGGCATCAACGATGTATAGAGTGTAATGGACGGTACTTTGAAAAATTGTGAAAGAATGAAGATGTATCTGTCTATATTTGTCGACGACGTCAACGACGTTATTTGTTGACGTGATAATTACACCGTATTGTGCGCCGGTTATGTTATATGTATGTTAGTTCTGTTTTCCTTGTTGATGTAATTTTATAGTTTTGTAGTTCATATTGGTATGTATCTGTTGGGATGATAATGGTCTATCCAACAATGTATGTTTTATGTAATTTCAATAAACGAGTTAAAAGTTATACGGTTTGTCCACGAACTTTTTGAACACCCCTCGTATACGTAATTATGTACAAGGTATTTGCCTTTTTCAGTTTCTTTAATTATAATACTGGCAATTTCTCTTGTTGCAGTATGAAATGTTGAAATGACATTTTCTTTTTGTTGCAGCTCAAAATGTTGAAAAGGCAATTTCTCATTACTAGCAGAATGTAATGTTGAAATAGTTATTTCTCTTGACTTGCAGGATGTTATGATTTACTGGTTATTTGTCTTTGTTGAAGTATGTAATGTTAAATTGACAAATTTGTTTTGTTGTTTGTATGCAATATTGACATGGCAATTTCTTTTTGTTGCAGTATGTAACATTATACTAGAAGTTTCTGCTTTCTTGCAACGTGTTGGCTTGGCTATTTGTATTTGATTTCAGTATGTTTATCATGCACTTGCCATTTTTGTTTGCTTTCAGTGTGTAGTGATGTACCGATTAATCCTCCGTATGGCTCTATTGAGCTTGTGGATCGGACACGAGGAACGTATAAATGTGATAAAGGCTACGCTTTAAAAGTCTATGCAGTAATTCGATGTCTTAAGGGAGGAAAACACAGATCAAATTATTGGAATGCATCTGAAAGTGCTTGTGCAGCTATAGGTAAAAAAGGTTATAAATAAGAAACAAATTCTAATTTCGACTGGCAATGGCTCAAAGTGATTGGAATTAATACAAATCTAACTGAACAAATAGAATAATGATTTATATAGGGGCACAAAAAAGTATTAATTCCGACAATTTGCACGGTCTCGTTAACCATAAAGTATCTCTGTATGCTTCCCCTGTCATATTTTATTTAATAACATCATGATGTAAAACATTCCCTAGTTTCAGCACAACATTTTGAGGGAAATACAGTAGGAATATACCATTTTGTTTTTGATGATGAATAAAAAATAAATAAATGATGTTATTCGGATTGCCTTCGATTCGGATTGCCTACACATACTTTAATATATATTTCAGGTTTAAACAACATATCGGCTACCTGTAGTTTACAAGTTTATATTTTTAATTGTGAAGGATAACGTTCACAGTACCTGTATAAAAGAAAAAAATGTTTATCTATTTGTTGACAAAGTGAAATCTCAGTAACTTAAAATATCCTGTCATGTTTTGGTATTTCCTCTGTTTAAAATGTCATGCTTCCTCATTTACAGACGACTGTAATCCCTCTCCATCTTATAAATCAGATATATGCATTGATGAAATTGAGGACTTTACATGTATTTGTTTCCCTGGATATACAGGCAAAAACTGCTCTGAAAGAAAGTTAATTATGCAACATAAGCAACACGTTCGTTATTTGTCAGAAAGCGTACAATCATTCTGTTTAAATCAAAAAATATATTTTACAGTTTCGTATTTCGTATCTCATTTAAATTGGTATCTGGCTTATTGAAGCGATAGTGAAAGGTTCTAATCATTTTTATTTATCTACTTTTGCAACTTTACTCCATCTTGTTATTTTTTGACTCTTACCTCTGTTTTATTTTAGCGTATAGATGTAGCTAAATATATTGATATGGTGTTTTACAATAAGGTCGGTGGGTGTTTCTTTATTAGCGCATTAATGTTATATTTATATTTCATTATATCAATATTATTAATTGCATAGATCTTTTTATATAGGTTAAAATGTGAGTCACTGTTTCAATTATTCACACTTAAATGTTAAACTGTTTTAAAGAAATATTCAGTTCAGTCAAAACAGAACCATCTTCTATAAAGACATCAAAAACAACACCATCCAGGCAGCCTTTAATGACTTCAACTGTAATTGCTACTTCAATTTCAGGTACTCATTATTATTATATTAACACGCCATAATTGTTTTCCTTGGTATATTCCGTTTAACTTGTTTTTTTTTTTCGGTTTATCAAATTATGATGATTACTACAATATCCCGATGAACAGGAAATGCTATTTTTATTCTTATTATCTACGATTATTTTCTTAAGGTTATCAGATTTAATTAAAATTAATTAAAATTTCATTTTAAGCGCTTTAATTAAAGATGTCATTGATTTATTATAAAATTATTTCCTATGGTATAATTTCTTTAAAAAATACAACAAATATTGACACATCCTTTTATTTCCAAGTCTTTGTGGTTATATGATAACAATACTTCGAATGTTGGGTAGAGTGACTCGCTTTCTTTGATAATGACAAAAATATTTTAGAATATAGTTGTCGTAAAGTAAACACACATCAGTAATCCACGATATAAAACATAGTGTGAGAGTCACCTTTGTTTACATACATTTTAAAATTCTTATAATAAAATTTAATTTTATAAAAGTACTTTTATATTGAACTTCATTCAAAAGTTATAAAGAGACTATTGGGTCTGGGTCGCTGGTTCGAACATCGGACGAGGCGAAATTTCTTCATGAATTTATCTAGGACATTGAAACTATTGGTGAGTTTTTTCTTATCGCCAGTTCATTTTCGAAGAAGCTGTTTTATCAAGGAAAGCTGGTTACGTAGATCTACCGCCAAGATATATAACTAGAATGTGTTACATTCCGTTTCAAAACCAACCAGAATAAAAACACACACAAAAAATGTTTTTGCAATGATATACATATTTATCTAACCATTTCTCCCATAAAAATCAATCTTACGTAAAATGTCTTAACATTCTAAATCTATTTATAACATTAACAAGCACTTTTATAAACAGTAATACTTGCTATAATGATATTACTGAGTCATACCTTACGATGTTTAATTATATATTCTCCTTACTAAGTCACTGGAGAAACAGACTTAGATGTCGACAATGAAAGACCTGTATACGTATGGTACATTGTAGGAGCAACCGTAGTCTGCATTTTAGGCATTATACTTGTTGTTGCTACAGTTCTAATTGTACGCCGGTAAGTTTATTTGTCATTTTCTCTAAAATTTTATTGTATGAAATGTTTAAAATATAATTCCATTCTTGTTTTCAAAATGATATAGGAAGTTCTATAAATGTGTACAAATGTGTCTGTCTACGATTTTAACTGAACACATCTGATGAAAATTCTTTAGGATGCATATTAATTGGAACCAAATTTTGCATGTTAGAGTCTGGTATCTTTGAATTAGTATTGTTATCTTTAATGATATAAAACACACATTTTTAATTTAATTTCCTCTAAGAGCACGGTCACGGTTATAGCAGAGTTGATCAAACCAATAATATTTGTTATAATGTCTCTACCATGTGTTATATTAAAGATATATCTATGTTAAACAGTTGACACTTTAGTGGTTAACGCGTCGAGGATTGCTGAACGCATCAGTTTACACCTCGACAGGGGTATCCAGTTGTTTTCGTGAGCAAGAAACACATGGCTTATTTCCTGTTGGCTCCAGGAACTGATTCGAGTGTGTTTCAATAAGCATACGCTTATAACTTCCATCACAATCAAATACATGTATAATAAAATAAATTCGTATAAACTAGATAAAATACTGCAAATACAAAAACAAACCAACAATATACTATTTGAAAGTTTGGGTTCTTTGTGATGCCATGATTATAATTTTTATACATTTATTTCCTTAATTTGTGACTATTACACATTGATAAAAGGGCACTATATAAAATCTTTACATGTAATATATTTTCTAAATCACAGTCGAAGAAGACTTGCCACAAAACAAAAACCAGATCGCAATGATGATACTCCTGAACAAGATCCAGAATATACTGTACTAGACATCACAGAGGCTAAATCTAATCCGTACTCAGCACTAAGTAAGATCTCAAACAGATATGCCAGGGACAAAATTGATTCAATGAATATTGATGCAACTTACTTAACGCCATGTGCCTTTACAAATCCGGATGTTTCTAACATATATATTAGTATTGATGCTTAAGATATTCTTGGAAGATTGAAATGCAAATATCTATTGAATATATTTAATGTGTCAAATACTCCGTAGCACATTGTTAGTTACGCTGAACTTTGTAAATATCTGAAATGTACATTGATAGAAGGATAATTATTTTTTGATAGTAAATGTGAACTAATTAAAATATACATATTGAGAAAAGCAGTGATACAAGTGACAGACTTCTTTCTAAAATCAAAGGGCTGCAAGCTCTGTAGTATTTTCTGATCTTTGCAATTTAAATCGTACTGAATATCTGTATGTATTTTCCTTTATATGTTTATTTTTATATACTATAATTCATCTTGCATGGCACCAAGATGCAGCGACTGCGTTTAGATCTTTTTACTATAATAGTTTGAGTTTGATACATACGGAATTTTTCATGACTAGAGTTGCATCGTTCATTTTTTTATGACAGCCGCGCTTTATCCTTGTATGTCGATGCTACTTCTTAAAATAATATATATAAAAAATTGTTGCCTCGACTGGGATTTGAACGTCAGACCTCTCACACCCTAAAGGAGCGCAATACCCCTGCACCACGGGGAAGTTATACGAGGAAAGCCTGAATAAAATTAAATAATTCTAAATTTAAAAATTCCATTGAGGGTTTGTAATCCTTATTAATTTCTAGGTATTTTGTTCATGATAAACCTATTGTTTAAAACTGATGTAAGTAATTTAGAGAAAAACTTCTCGCCAAAACAGCTCGATTTATTTGTGTAATACGGTAATCGACATCGTTAAAAATGGCATTTTGTTGATTTGGATTAAATTTTCGGGTGTAGAAATTGATTATCGATCGTCGACTCCCCTAAATTTGTCCCTGTCCTAAAGTCAACATAACATCCTTACTTTATTTTTCAGAAAGTCTAAATACCAACCGTCTATTTAGGAGGAGTTTAATTCCGATCACATTAATCCGAAGCTTTACGGAAATAGTCGAGCAATTTTAATTGATTAAAATGATATTATCCGCGTAATTTGTGGTTGTGCATTTATTATTATTTATCTATAAGCCAACGCTACTTTTAAACTTTGAATGCGTTGTAATGTGTTGGATACTTGTAACAAAATCAAAATATTTCCTTCTTTTACAACGCTAGTTTTAAGCTGTTTTGAGCACTACTTGTTGTTAGGTTTGTCGTGAAGCGCTGTACCTGACATTGAATATAAGAATAGTATTTCCTGACCTGCGATCAGAAAATACAAAAAGTATGTTATTACTTTTGGCAAGAAGAAATTAGAATGCCAGGATAAAGATGCGTGTAAAATATCTAGATTTTTCTAAAGAGAAATAAAATATCACAGATTTGTGTAAATCATCTTCTTTTAAATTTTGTATTTACATTGATTCATAAAAAGTAACAAAAAGCCAACAATTGTCAAAATGTAAACGTATTACGCAACATAGTATTTTTACTGTAGACAATATTTCAAAGTCACTTGATATACCTGCACACATTCAGCAGTTGAATAAATAAAAATGTACGATTAGATCTCAAAAAGTAAAGAAATAAAAGATATAATGAAAAATTTGTATTAACATTGATTCATAGAAAGTAACAAATAGCCAACAATTGTAAAAATGTAAACGTATTACGCAACATAGTATTTTTACTGCAGACGATATTTCAAAGTCACTTGATATACCTGCACACATTCAGCAGTTGAATAAATAAAAATATACGATTAGATCTCAAAAAGTAAAGAAATAAAAGATATAATGCCGGATTTTTTATTGGTACTAAATAAATATTTTCGAAGCGAAAACTTATGTATTATCTTAATAACATATTAAAATCAGGTGTTTATCCTAAATAATGGTGAAAGGGGATTATCGTCCCAATACATACATACCAAAGTTGATCATAATAATCCCTTAAATTTAAATTGATTAAAACCATATCCTAATTAATGCTACGCATTAGGATCTGACGGTGACCATAGGAGGTCTCATTCTCGTGACCTTTCTATCAGCCAATCATTGGCTAGTTTTAACAATTTTGAAAATGCGATGTGGTTTCTAATTTTAACCGCTATTACACGAATACTTAGTAGATAATTTTCATAATTTCGAGAACGAACACACATTATAGACATATAGCCGGCAGGTGAACTGGCAAGGCAATCTTGCCCATTATGCCCCGGTCACATATTCACGGATAATGCCATGGAAGAGCTACGGTCTAATCGTCCACCGATTACTACGAAAATGTGAAATTCCGTAGTCCGCTACGGTTCCAGTACGGACACACAACGGTATGAGTACGGAATCCGACGGATTCACTACGGTTACACTACGGTCTGCTACGGTATAAGCACGATTAGTACGAATAAGTACGGTCTGATACGGCGAAGAACGAATTGATACGGAGAAGAACGAATTGCCACGGATCTATACGGACCTAAAACATCCGTACACAACCTCTTGCATGCTCATTTTCAAAATGCCTCACAAGAAAAGAACACATAGAAAACGAATTGCAAAGTTCAATGATTTTGGCGGAGAGGATTCGGCCTAATCGCGTCCGACCCCCGAGACACATCTTGTCCGATTAAAGTGAATTTCTTGAAGGACGCTAGATCCTTAACAAGTTCGGACATGATAACCTCATACTTAACATGAAGCGGTCTTCGTAAAAGCCCTTCTCTAGTCCGCCATCTCGTCTGTCTTCTCTTACCTGATAAGATATGGAGTAGTCATCATTAATGAAAAATGTGAGTCAATACTGCTTCTCTTTTAATTTTTGTTCATGATACAATTACATTAATTATCGTGAATGTTTATGTATTAAAAAAATGTAAAAAAGCATCTTATTATCACTCAAGGGCCAGTGTCCGAGGCTTATGAGACACTTCGTTTTATGTACATATTTACTCCAAATTCACGATCCAATGTTTGTAAAATATGTAACATTAAATGTTATTCTATTACTTATGAATTCTAGTATGATATTAATATATTTTGACCTCTATGTTTGTCATCAAGTAGCTCGACCACTGCCTCCGCATATTCTGAGCCAGTTCAAAATAAAGTTGCAGCCAGTAAATGGCAATTATCATTTATTGAATGTTCTCACAAATATGTCTGTTTTTATCAAGAAGATAGTATTTTTACCCTGATACTTAATTCATCCGTACTAAACAGTGGTGGACCGTTCCATTCCGTACCGTTTCGTGTTGCAACGCAATAAACCGTAAAAGACCGTGCTAATCCCTGCCTCTCCGTAGTACAACGTATTACGATCGTGGCTTTCCGTGACAATGCCGTATTTATCCGTATTAAAACCGTAGCTTATACGTAGGGTAACCGTACAAATACGAAGTTCTCCGTACCAAACCTTGGAAATCCTTGACAAGTTAGTGGACTACGAATCTGTACGGACTAGTACGGTTTTCGTACGGACTAGTACGCATCAGTACGGTTTAATACGGACTAGCAGGGATACGCTACGGTTGATTTTTCCGTAGCAAATTTTTTTGCATGTTCAAATATTGTCAAGGATCGCTACGGATATACAAGGACTACTACGAATGATTACGGTTACAATACGGAGAGCTACTGACCAGTACGGGTAGCTACGGACGATGCCGGAATTCATACGTGGCTCTTCCGTGGGCGTTTTCCGTGAATATGTGACGGGGGTATTAAATATCTAGTATATTATTATTAGTTTATTTCACGAACGGCGATATTTAGATGATTCGTCTACTGCGTGCCTGTGAAGGACGTTTTGATTGCATGGCAAATAATAGCTTTCTCAAGAAATCGGAATCAAAATGAAGGCGAAACAAATACGGTGGCAATCAAATCTACATGCAAGAAATAACTTACTAGAGTAAAAAGATCTGGGGCCCGTCTTATCAACGATCGTACGATTTTGGAAATCTTAGCGTACGAGTTTGATCTACGATTGTCGTACGCTCGATCGTAAGACTGTCTTATCAACGCGGTCGTACGTTCAACCTAAAATCTTACAATTTTCATAAGCGTACGATTCTTACGCCTGCGCACTTACACGTACTCTTCAAAAAAAGAGGTAACGCGCATTTTAATGTCAAACTTGAAATACGACGTCTGCTACAATTCAGCGATGTCTGACAAGGCAAGACCTTAGTTAGAATTTGGGAAATAACTTCGGTAAATTGTATCGCAAATATCTTTATACCCCGACAAAAATGGCATATAGTTTTACCCTGTTCCGTCATTTTGTCATTCCGTCATCATCAGTTCCGTTCATTATCTTGGGAACACATTCAACTCTAATTTGATATAATTATGGATATATCATAGGAAAATGCAGGTCATGGTCTGGTTACATATGACAGATTTATGTCCCTTGAAGAAATTTTCCGTTTCCGTTCATTATCTCCACAAAAGTTGTACACATTCAACTCAAAATTGACAAGTCATATAAATTTGTGATTGGAATACGTAGATCAAATTCAATTTGGTCATGATTCGATGAGTTTTGGAAGAGTTATGCCCCTTAGAATGATTACAACAATTTAATTATGTTTTAATGAACAAAAGCCCAAGAGGGATTCAAACCTGGGATTTGGGACTCACAAATCCTATACTTAAAAGATAGAGAAAATAAGAATCCCCATAGAAAGCTCAACACGGCAAATTTTGAAAGTGTTGCAGGCTCGGGGGGATCACTTTGTTTCCAGAATTTTGATTGAGCCTGTTCATGGACGGTACTGTCAAGTGCAAACTACCGTCCACGCACTCTAGCACCGGCTTTAGCAGAATTCAACATTAAACATGAACTTGTAAAATTTTGAATTTTGAAACATCCGCAGATGTGTTCATATGGCGGTTATCATGGAACCTTCAATGTGAAAATACATTCCACGAAAAGCGGCACATGGCCCCCAATTAAAAAAAGCGTGTGCCTAAACGAGAAAACAATGGGCGGAACTAAATAAAATAGAATTTTGAAAGGGGATCAGAGGTTATAAAGCCTGCATATCACAGACAGGACGTAAAAAGACAAATTTAAAAAGCAGGCCACATATCCTTAGGGTGATTTAACAGTATTCAAGTGAGGAATAATGGAACCACCCAACAAGAAAATAGCCGAATAGAAAGAACTTACCACAAGCACAACAATAATGTGGTGCTGAACGATCTTTAAGGATCGGAATTATAACCTCTCTTATTGAATGTTCGGGGCGACCTAAACCACCTAGCTTTAGTTATAAATAACCAAACATCTTTACAAACAATTTCGCAAAACAATTGCCAAACGCAGGGTTTTGCACCGTGTGGCGGCTGTTAAAAGGATTCCGTACATTTAATCAATGATGATATATTTTCGATCCCTCAAGATCGTTCAGCACGACATTGATGTTTTATATACATTTGAGGTGGTATTTTTTCAACTTGGGTGATTCCAGTATTCTTACTTGAATACTGTATAATAACCCTTAGGATATGTTGCCTGCTTTTAAATTTGTCTTTTGACGTCTTGTCTGTGATATGCAGGCTTGGGCTTGCAGGCCCAGGTCCGCTTGTGCTCCTTGCCACTGGTTCTTGTTGCTGGGTCATGTGGGGGTTGCTCAATTTTCAACACTTAATAGTGTTGTGTCAAGCGTAACAAAGTTTTGTGTCAGAGATTCAAGATCAACCTCTGATGCTATTTTATTCTGCATGCCTTAAATCATGAAGTTTTATGAACGGAATAAAAACCCTACCGTATTTCCACTGAATAATAGGTAAAACAGAATCCCTAAAGAAAGTCCAACAAAACACAATTGAAAAAGTTGCAGACTCGGTTTGATTGAGCCTGTTCATGGACGGTACGGGAAAGTGCAAGTTACCGTCCACGCCCCCTAGCACCGGCTTAAGCAGAATTCAACATTTAACACGAAAATGGTGAAATTTTGAATTTAGAAACATCAAATGTGTTCATATGGCGATTATCATAAGACACGGTACTAGGAAGTACATTGTGAATATATCTTTATTTTCATCTAAAGTAATTTTGTAAAAATTAATGCTTATATGAATATGACTTAAGTTTTGGATTAGAGAAAGGAGAGTCATTTTCATTCTTTATCACTATCTGTGATTTATTTTACCTTTAAATAGAATTTAAAAATGTATTGATCTTAACAAACTGTCGACTAGTCCAAGCAGTGGCCGTGGA